GAACTAGAGTAAATGGTGGATACTATAACTTGAAGTATTTAAATCATGATTTGAGGACTTCAGTAACTCAGCCACAGGGTATTGGTCCTACTCCAGGAGTGGGTGGATGTGCCCTGCAATGTGTAGGGGGTCAGAACAGACGATCATGATAGTCTCTTCTGGCCTTACAGTCTAGAATATGCCTAGAGATTTTATTGTGCTAAGTAGCATCAACTATATTTTAATCAACACAAAATGTCTATTTTTGTTTATTCTACATACTCACATTTAATAGATACGCAGTGTGCTTTAATCTCTTCCCTTTGCATTTTCAAATTCCTTCCTCCTACCCTATGCAATTTCCAATTCTGTTTGTAATGATAATGGCTTACATTTATATAGCACCTTTCATCCAGAAGGATTCTGAATACCTGGCAGCCTACAGATAGGGATAATTTCGCCCACCACAGAAACACACCCAGGTCTGAACTGCATTGTGTCAGTTTCAAACTGCTGTGTGTTGTGCAGTGGAAGGCAGAAAGTGACATGTTTTATTTGTATTTCATTAGTACGTTGGCCCACCTTTTTATTCTATTTGGAAGCTGCAAGAAGGCTTAACAGCCCCTTATCTGCACTGTCCAAAATAAAAAGGGAGGTTGGTGGGGGTGGGGAGAGCTCAGCAATGATCTGTAGCACAGACAGGCTCAGGCATTTTTACCATCACGTCATCTAAGCCTGCTCACAGTTGCACTGTGGTAAATGACAGGTCCTAAATTTGCCACAGTAGATGCAATTTAAGTCTTCATTACTTAACTGGATCTCTGACCGTGTAACCTACGTCACGTTAGACAGACTCCACTTTCTATTAAAGCTTATTCCAGGAAAATTATCCTCTTGAGATAAGAGAGTCGATGCTTATCTCGAACAGTGTAAGGCAACCAGAGCGTTCTTTTTCATATCTTTCTAAATTTGCTATAGTAGCTACTGTTGATGCTGTCTCTGGAAGATGGGTCCTGTATGCTGCAGTTCATTAGTCTTAGACCTTTCTCTATGCATCCATCCTATATATACTAGCACTAGCTACTGTTGAAATACTAGCTATCTAGACTGGTTAATTTGGCATCTACAAGATGAGACACGACACTCCACACTGTTTTTTGTTGTGAAGTTGATCAGGACAGATTCAGAGTGAAGATTGCTGTCTACTGAATCACTGAAGTCACTTCTGGCAAGACCTGTTTTTACCATAGGGATCCTACCCAATTATTAACCTAATTCAGCACGCTTAACATAAATCTGGTGGTAGGCCAAAGCAGCATAAACCAGATTACTTCTTTTCCTTCTTGACTTTCCAGTTCTATTTGCCTTAGAATTTTGTTCTGGCACCTTTCACCATAGTATCTGAATGCTTTCCATATTAATAGAGTGGCAAAGTGAGGTAGCTAGTGGATTTGACAGCATCTTTGGATTTGGATTTGACAGCATCTTTGAGGGAAGCAAAGGGGATAAATGCCATTCTGGTGAGACTAGAAAAACTTTCTCAAAAAGAGAAAGGTTTTGCAGCATGACCTAAAGCTGGTCAGAGTCTGTTCCTTCTTCATTTTTCCCCAGGATCATCTTTCTACCACCAAGTCCAGCTCCCTGCCTCAAGGTCTCCCAATACAACATTATTCCTGTGAACCACTTTCCCTTCCTTGTCAGCCACTTACTGAAAGGTGAGAGCGGAGAATCTGCAGTGTTTACTCCTGATTGAACAGCCCTGAATCAAAAGATGCTTGTGATTCAGAAATGTGGCTTTAAAACAAAAGCTGATCCCTAATAAAAGTGACAGGAGCGTGGAGTCAGTCAGGTGACCAGAAAAAAAAATATATTACTTTTTTAAGGATGAAACATATGGATTCACTCTATTTTTAAGCCTTAAAAATAGAAGACAAAGAGTAATTTCTGAACCATGTAAGTGCCAGTTCACATATTTTCTGTGTGTTCATGGTAGCGCCCTATATGGGTGGATAAGTGGCACATTGGGATGGAAACACAATGTAGAACAGGATTTTACAAAATGTACTTTCGCTGATTGGCTGACTGCTTAGTGAAGTCAGAAGTTTTTTTAATCATCTCTTTCATATTGTATTTAAGAATCATTCTTGTCTTGAATCTTGGGGGGTTTCTGGTTATGTCACTCAGTTGTAATGTAAACAGTTGACATGTAAGGCAAACACATTTATTCTAATTGTTACAGCTAAAATTGCATGCAACTGTAAATAAAATGTTCAGCTACCAAATAGTAATGAATTTAGGCTCAGCCCAAGTGTCTAGGATATATTAACTAAGCAAACATGATTCAAGGTGACAGACGGCTATATTGATGGTGTATGCAGTAAAGAAGTGGTTTTTATAGTAGATGTTTAGAATATTATGGTATTAAGTTTTGGATAATACATTTTTATTTACAAAATGCCCCATGATTGAAGGATTTTGTTACTAAAATAAATTTTAAGATGTACTAATAATGCAAACTATTTTTACAGAATCAAAAAAAAAAAAGAGCCCCCTCAAATAAATCATACAATAAATACGTAAACTGGAGAGCAAATAAATGAGCCAGCTTTGCATACATTCTCTGCAAATGCTTTAGCTCTTTGTGACAGTATACTTCCAAAATTTTAGAAGATAAAAGCCTATTGTTGCAGGGACTACGTACTGAAAACATGTGAAATAGTGCTGTGCATTGGATGAAATGGAACACGAGGCTTCTGTGTAATCATATTATAATGAACTGGCCAGTGTTTGTGTGTGTACTGCTCCCTTCTAACCAATGGAATCAGAACTGCTGAACTGTGCATCATAGGGCCTATACTACTAGTAATAACAGATAAAGGAGAGTCTCCTTTAATTCAAATGATAGGGGTCTGAACTTTTGGCGAAGGGGTATCTAATTCATATGTCCAAGGTTACTGTCATTTTGAATAACCAGTTATTTCATGGTGACCAAATCTGATCTGAATTTGGATTAGATTAAATTTGCCAGTTTTGAATTCAGATAAGCATTTGGCAATTTGAAAAAATAATCATTCTGCTGACTTGTCTAATAGCACACCCTCATCCTACAACTGGGTGCAGGAGGATGGACCCTTGTATCTGCACAAAGTCCCATTGTCTTCAGTGGCGCTCTATGGGGGTGCAAGGGTCCTTCTGCATGGGAACAATTGCAGGGTCAGTGCTCTAGGCTGCCCATTAAAAGGCTTGTATTGTAGTTCAGATCTCTCCAAAATTTTATCGGAACTTTCTCTCCCCTGTGCTGATTGCCTGATTCCAATGCCTCCCACTCCTCCCTTCCCTTCCTTTGTCTTTCCATTTAGCTAATTTCCCCCCCACACACACACACACACAGCACTTTACCAAAGCTCACCTAAAGGATTTCAATAAACCATTAAAAAAGTTAAAATAAATCATGGAACTAACATAACATTTGCAAACCATCACTCTGTTCACTCTGCTTGTTTGTTATATCTCTTTGCCAACCCCTTTGTCCCCTGTCTATTTGGATTGTCAGCTATTCAGGGTAGGGATTGTCTCTTATTCTATGTTTGTACAGCACCTAGCACAAAGGAGCCTCATTCTCAGTTGGCCCATAGATAATAAACGTATTAAAACAAAACTAATTTGAAATTCAGATAGGTGAAATTTAGATAAGTGAAAAGAGTGAAATGCATTTTAAAACATGCAGTGCTGGGTGGATTGATTTAACTAAACTATTTTAATCATGATTTAAATCAGCAAGCAGGACACCTTGATTTACATCATCAGTTTTAATTTTGTTTTGAAATTTTTAGTTATTTTCCTAAAGAAAGGTTGATTCTTGTTGCTTAAATAGTCCTAAATCATTTTGATTTGCCCAATAAATATAGCCTTTACGCTATATTTTTACTTCTTTTTTGCTAACCAGGAGGATACATTACATCTGTATACAATTATTAAGCAATTTTATAGCTTAATATATTTATTCAGATTCTTAATTTTTAAATATTTTATTGTGTTAGAAAATGGTGAATGATACACTTCTTATTTACTAAATGATTAATTTTTTTCTTGTGATTTGTGTAAAGCTTAGTTTGGATGCAAATTGGAACTCAAAATGCACAAAACAGCATTTTAAAATGTGTTTTATTAGTTAAATAAACTACCTTAAAATGTGCTGGATACATAAGATATATGTTTTGAAAAAACATTTTATTATATTTAAAACTAAATTATTAAAAAACATATCTGTGCCATGACCAAGGCTCCTAGGCACTACAATAACACAAGTAAATAAATAACAGAATGAATAAATAAATAACAACAATAATAAACTGTAGTTGGTAAATTGATCTGGTCATTTCTGGTCACTATGTCTTTCAAAATTTTAGAACTAGCAGATCTCATCCCCTCACACCTACTGTTTATTCATAGAGTGGAACAGAAAAACAAGTATTCCTGCTTTTTTAGCTCCCAATCAGTTTCCTAACTTTGAATGAACTAGTCATTGAACTAATTTAGCTGAATAAACAAAAGAAGAAAATATTCCCTCTGCATCTGCAGAAAAGACTACTGCTGTCAAATGCTGGATTAGCGCTTCAACAAATTCTGGTTTAAGGTCGTTAGCCAGTGACTTCCACCAGTTCAGAGGTTTGATTTTCTTTAAAACTTCAGCAGCACACATGATTGCTTAATTTTTTTAACATTCAATTTTACACTGTTTTAACAGATTATGGTAAATATAGGCCTTAACATAGATTGTTATAATTTCAAATTGGTTTATTTGAAAATGTATTTTTAAACTAATAAAGGACCTTTTATGAAAAAACACTTATTTTTTCCACCCTAATACAGTGACATTTTAACTGAAACAAATTCTGTCCCCATGCTTGCTGTTCATAGTGATTTCTATTAAGATCTCAGACAGCCATGCATTTGTCCGAGTATTATTAAAATCACACTGCAAGTAGCCTTGTATTCAAAAAGAGAAATAGCAAACTTACTTCAATACTGAAGTACCCTCTGTCCACATAGTCCCCCAAGAAGAGGTACCGTGTGTTGGCAGGAGAACCTCCTACTTCAAACAGCTTCATCAAATCGAAGAATTGTCCATGGATGTCCCCACAAACTAGGAGAAATTAAAATAGCAGTTTGTTACATCATCAGTTCAATTAGTGTTACTAGGTTAAGCACACACAATTTTAAAGTATTTACCTTAATAATAAAAATGCTGTATTATATTCTATTGTTCACCAGCTATATTCTGTGTGCCAGCTTACAATTTATTAGGGTGACCAGATGTCCCGATTTTATAGGGACAGTCCCAATATTTGGGGCTTTTTTTTAATATGGGCTCCTATTACCCTCCACCCCCATCCCGATTTTTCACACTTGCTATCTGGTCACCCTACAATTTATATCTACATTGACATGATTGGTGAGGGTGGGCTGCCGGTCAGCAGAAATTGATGACAAATCCTGAGTAAAAACATAACCATTTTTCACTTTTTCATACATCTACATCTATTGTACAAAAGGTTACCCCATGATTCAAGTAGTGCTTTTAGACTGGTGTTTTAGAAATGACTTGAGATACATTAAAATGTATTTATGCATATTTTATTTTTTAAAAATGCCCATCTCTTGCTATGGCCACTTTGTGCAAAACATATAATATTGATAATTAAAGGACGCACCAAAAATATCCAGAATAAGAAAACATGCTCAACATATTAGTCCCTTCAAACAGTCTCATTCCCTCCTCCAATTATCACTGTCTACCTGCCCTGTCCCCAAATCCATGTGAATATCAGTGGGCCTTGCAGCATGCATGGAAGGTCAACAAACAAGGCAGTACAACATAACTGATTGGTTAATTCACACAAAAGTCTCTCACTTCTGTGTTATACATACATAGAGTCAAAATAGGAAGAAACATGATAGAAAATAATTTACTACTTCTCTAGGTGCATGCTTCCAAATAATTGGGCACATTTTTGTGCCTAACAAGCAATAAATTCACATAAGCTTTTGCATCAATTTCTGCATAAAGGTCTTACTGTCCTATTGAAAATCATGCCTCAAAATTATTTCATGCTGTGAAGAAGCTGAAATCACTTCTCCATATAGATTCAATAGTACAGCAGCTGTAATAAAGTTCCACCAAATTAAAAACCCCACAACAATGCAAACATCAATAATATCTCATTGACTCGTCACAGTACAGTGTCACATATTCTTTACTTTTAGTTACAAGAAACCAGACTCTCTTTTTCAAAGTATATAATAACTTCAGAATGGGGGAAATGTAGTAGTGATCTATATTATTATAGGTTTCAGAGTAGCAGCCGTGTTAGTCTGTATCCGCAAAAAGAACAGGAGTACTTGTGGCACCTTATAGTCTCTGCTCAACAATGGCAACAGTAGAACTAGGGTTGCCAGATGACCGGTTTAGGACAGCTCCGGTCAGCACTGCTGTCTGGGCCATTAAAAGTCCGGTTTACGGCACAGCGGGGCTAAGGTAGGCTTCCTAACTGCCCTAGCTCCGCACAACTCCTGGAAGCGTCTGGCATGTCCAGCTCCTCACTGCAGGGGCTGCCAGGGAGGCTCCACATGCTGCCCTTGCCCTGAGTGCCGGCTCCGTAGCTCCCATTGGCTCCACCTAGGAGCTGGACATGTCGGCAGCTTCTGGGAGCCACCTGAGGTAAGCGCCGCCTGGCCGGAGCTTGCACCCCAAACCTCCTTTGCACCCCAACCTCCTGCCCCAGGTCGGAATCCCCTCCTGTGCCCAAACTCCCTCCCCTCCTAGAGTCCACACCCCGTATCCCCTGCCACACCCCAGCTCCCTGCCCAAGCCCTGAGCCCCTTCCTGCACCCCAAGCCCCTCATCCCTGGGCCCACCCCAGAGCCCATGCCCTCAGCTGGAGCCCGCACTCCCTCCTGCACCGCAGCCCCCTGCCCCAGCATGGAGCCCCCTCTTGCACCCCAAACCCCTCGTACCTGGCCCCACCCCGGAGCCCGCACCTCCAGCCGAAGCTCTCACCCCCTCCCACACCCCAACACTCTGCCCCAGCCTGGTGAAAGTGAGTGTGTGGGGGAGAGGGCGAGTGACAGAGGGAGGGGGGATGGAGTGAGTGGGGGCGGGGCCTCAGAGAATGGGTGGAGCAGAGCGGGTCCCTGGGGAAGGGGTGGGACAGAGACAGGGCAAGGGTGTTTGGGTTTGTGCCATTAGAAAGTTGGCAACCCTATGTAGAGCAAATAATAAAATATAGCAAAGGTGGTGATCATGCATACCTTACTCTCATGAGTACCTATGTGAAGTTAGAGATACCACTTATGAGTTAGGCCTGCAGGATCAGCTTCTATGCTCTCTTTTCTCCTTTGCTGTGCATCGGTGTACACTATGAAGTAAAGACTGCATAACTACAGTTCTTTAAAAAAAAAAATGAGTTTCTTCCATCAAATAGCGTAACTACATAAGACTAGGGCTCTTTCACCAGTTTTGTATTACACTGTGTAATCTTTTCTTTCCAGGTGACATTTTATTTTCATGAGTTTTGAGATAGGAAAGTGTTACTTAAGACACCTTCATCTGAAAGTGATTTCCAGCAAAGGATAATAACTATCATTCTATAACAACGCAAAAATAAAGTTTAAATTTAAATCCTCACACAACATGATGGAAAAGCTGTCTTTGTAAAGTCTTTTTTTTTTTTTTTTTTAAGATGAAGCTGTCATTATCTGCAATAAAGGAAAATTCTGGATCAATTTTCTTTATGTAATTGGTTTAGCTAGCAAACTGTTTCAAATGGGCTGTGTTCCTCTGTGTACATATAGTGAGCAGAGAAGAGCAGCAAGTCTGAGAACTAGAGCCAGAAAACCTGTCCTCTTCAATTCAGACTGAGAAACTTTTTAGTATAATAAAGTAGTACAATTCTAACAATTAAAAATGCATGAAAATCTGAAATGTAAGATGGTTGAGAGATTCTGAATGAATGTAGAATTATCATGACCAGGGCCGCTCCAGCTTTTTTGCCTCCCCAAGCAGCGAAGTGAGGAAAAAAACAAAAACAAAACAAAAAACAACCCACAAGCCGATCGGCGGCACTTCGGCAGCAACTCAATAGCACCGCTTCATTCTTCTGGGGCAATTAGGCAGCGAGTCCTTTGCTCCCTCTCTTCCTCTTCGGCAGCAGCCCAAAGAGGAGGAGAGGGACTGAGGGACCTGCCACCGAATTCCCGGACGTGCCGCCCCCTCTTTCCATTGGCCGCCCCAAGCACCTGCTTCCTTCGCTGGTGCCTGGAGCTGGCCCTGATCATGACTACAGGAAAAGGCAAAGCTACTTCATGTTAACAGGGGTGTGTGTACATGTATATGTTTGCAATGGTGAAGAGGACATTTCAGAGAAATTCATAAGTAAGACCTGCTTAGAAAGAAATATTTCTATTTCCATCAATTTGTTATAAATGGAAATGAAGAACAGAGTACAATTATAAACAGGGTGGAGAAAACCCAAAATTTGCAGAATCCTGTCCCTTCAAGCTCTATTTTTATTATTATTAAGCAGTTGATGAAAATTCCTGTAAATTTACAAACAGTATTCAATTCTCATCTATTCATGGTTGGCTTCAAAAAGTGTATATCCAGAAACCGCTTTCAGAAAAGACACTTGAAAACCAAGGGGAAAAAAAAAAAATCAAAGTAACAGTTTATTCCTAAACAACAGGAACAAACTGAATTATAAGCATAAAACTAGCAGGGAATCTTGTCTGCAGAAACTGAAAAGATGTGGCTTAGGAACAGAGGACAACAGATGAGTTATGATCATATACGATGCCCATGTCCCAAAATTTCAGTAATAAGGTCAACATTTTACATACATTCAGATTTGTATTTTGTATGGACTATCATAAAGGGAGCTGAAGAACTTTTCATTTTCACAGTTTTAATATATACTTTTAAAATATCCTGTCAGCATCCAATTTGTGTCCAAGTTTTTGGTTGGATGTTAACGTTTGGAACTAGAGAATTGAATAGGTATGTCCCAGGAACTGTGAAAAACATAATTGACTTGATAGGTTATTTTTTGGGGTGCTGTTCAACCCACTTTCACCCCTCAGTTATACTTTTCAAATTTTGGAGACTCTTGGACAATAATGTAATTATTTCTGATTCTCATTTGGGGGAAAAATGTTTGCTTGCTATTTTTACCTCCCCTCTTGCTCCCTTTTTTCTCAGAGGTGGTCTCCTTTCCTGGTTGTAGGAGTATGGAATAGGGGGTCAAATCTGATGAGGGGGATGATAAGGACAATTAGCAGCACCTATTGGCATCTGCCACCTGCTTCCACTGCCAAGAGGGATCCAGAACTTGAAGAGGTCTGGAACCAGTAGGGGCTACTCCTACAGCTCATTCTTTCCCACTCCGTTATGGGAGGAGCACATGAAGAGAACTAGATGGGAGGCTCATAGAACGGATTGAGGCTGGAAGATAAATGACAGCACTAGCAATTCTTTGGGAATAGAGGAACTTCCGAACCCCTCCTCTGCTATAAAGTGAATTGCTTTAGGCTTGTCTACACTTACAGTGCTGCAATGGTGCAGCTGTGCCACTTGTAGTACTTAGCGAAGACGCTACCTTCACTGATGGGAGAGCTTTCCTCTTGGCACACCAAGGGAGCGGTAGCTATGTCGATGGGCGAAGCCCTCACGTCGATATATCGCTCTCTACAGTGGAGGTTAGGTTGGTGTAACTATATTGCTCAGGGGTGTGGCTTTTCCGACATAGTGATACCGACATTAGTGGATAGTGTAGACCAAGTCTCAGATTCTTATGTCTACAGCAAAATCTATGAACCTGAGAAGATGCTTATGAAATATACTGAAGATTCCCCATCCCCATCCCGGATAGCTTTAAAAAAAAAAAACTCACCCAAATTGAGAGAGGAATAGCAAAGCCTAATAAAATAAGGAACAAACTCACTCTGTTTCCTTCTCAGAAGTTCCTCAGCTACATTTCTAAAATGTATAGCTGTAGAAGGAAAAAGCTGCCACGAATTCTATTCATATAGGATTTCTGAGGGGAATCAGAGGCCATTACTTTTGGGCTATGTCAGGCATCATATTTTGGC